AAACACCAGGGACTAATGCCAAGGAAACTGCCAAGATTGACAGGGAGGCAAGGTCTAATTGCAGGCTCTCAAGTCCACAGCCATGGCATTCAGGCATTCATTCCCTGCCAGGAACAGAGCATAAGCCTTGGGCTTTTCTGGGAAAGGACTGAAACCAAGGGCTTAGGCAAGGCACATTCTAGGGTGCATCTATGGGGCAGAACGAGAGCATTGCCTCCCGCAAAGGAGAATTCTGCCACCCCGCACCCATGACATTTTCCTCCAGTCCCCAAATCTCTAGCATTGCAGTAACTTAAAACTTTAGTTACACATTTCGAAATTGGGTTTAGGCATCCAGAGAAAAGGAGCATGCACAGTGACCCAGGGAATCAAACACAGCAAATGGAAGCATTCTGGGGTGTGAATGATTTTCAGTGTCTCCCTCTCTGTGATGCTAGGAATCTGGGGATAAAATGTCATTTGGGGTCAGCAGAATTCTTATTTGGAGGGTCAAAGCCCTCCTTTTGTTCCTACCCCAGGTAGATTTGGCCTCAAGCAAGACAAGCCTGTCTGAATTTTGGCACCGGTGTCTTAATTTGAGGCCGTGCTGTCACCAATGCACTGGGTTAATTTTACATCCTGGACTTAATGGTGTAACAGGTTATTATTATTATTATTACTATTACTGGTAGAAATCAAAGATATAGCTGTGTTGGTCTGTAGAATCAGTATGTTGAGAGATCTTGTAGTACCTTTGAGAGTAACTGAAATAAAGAAGTTGTCAGCAGGAGCTTTCGTAGCATCTGAGGAAGTAGGCTGAAGTCTTTGAAAGCTCATGCTGCCAACTTTTTTATTTCAGTTACTCTCAAAAGGTGCTACAAGATCTCTCTACTTGTTGTTATTATTATTACAGTTATTTATATCCCACCTTCCCTCCAACAATGGGGACTCACTGCAACTAGCAACATATCTAAAACAATCCAGATTTAAAACTATGCAGACGTTTTGGTAGAAGTATAAATATAATGTTCTCTAAAAAGCAATCAAACAATTTATCAGATTAAAACATCAAACATTAAAAGCATTAAAATTCAGAAATGATGCCGGTCCCATAGATCATGCCCCTGGTAACTATAAAGAATGAATCCTGTTCAGATCCAAAGAGCAGAGTGGAAGTAGTGAATTTTCTGGCCTCTCCAGCCCTAGCGTATTCCAGCCATTGGCCATGCTGGCGGAGGAGTTGTTGCCCAAGAAAAGTCCTTTCCCCAAGCCATAATAATAATAATAATAATAATGATGATGATGATGATGGCGACGGTGGCAGCAGTGTTTGCACAGAAGAGTTTATTTTGGGTGCCCCTCTCTCTGCTTAGGATCCAGCTGTGTTTGGCTAACTCTTTGAGCAACCATTGCTCAGGAAGAAACTTTCTTTCTTCTAGTGGTTGCATGCATTGTCTCTCTAAAGAAATAGCATTCATACTCAACCAGGGGAACACTTGGTTAACTAAGGCTGAGTTCATTTGCAGAACCTGTTTTATTTCCCTCCCTCCTTTGCCTTCCCCAGCACTGAGGTCATAATAGCAGGGTGAACAGAGTACGATATTTCCAAGCATATGCAGAATGCCTTTCCTTCATGGCTAGCTGACACTAACGCCAAGCAAAAGCTATTTAGAGGAGAGTGCATCTCCAATACTCAGGAATCTACAGCCTTTGGTGTTGCTGTGTGTCTTCAAGTCATTTCCCACTTAAGGGAACCCTAAGGTGAACCTATCCCGGGGTTTTCTTGGCAAGATTTATTCAGAGAGGGTTTGCCATGGCCTTCCCCTGAGGCTGAGAGAGTGTGACTTACCCAAAGTCACTCAGTGGATTTCATGGCCGAGCGGGGAATTGAACCCTGGTCTCCAGAGTTGTAGTCCAACATTCAAGCCACTATGCCACACTGCAATGTCTACTTTTCAATGCCATGCAAAAGCTGAAATTGGCATCATGTACAAAATTCAGCATCTTGCAAACGCTTGCTTTTTAGTAAAAGGAATTTCCAGTCCTTGTGGCTGAAAGAGCTTGGAATGACGTGGACCATCCTTAGTGCAATCTCTGAAACAGCAACAAGGATCTGATCCTTGGTTTCAGCAGTTTGGAGGGAAAGTGATCCCAAAATGTTAAAAAATACTGTCTGTCACCAGTGTATGGAGGAAAGATTTGAGGGCTCGGCTGTGGAGATCTACCGTATTTAAAATCAAGCCCTTCCCAGACATAGTTATCAGGTGTGGCGAGGTCTGTTTTGTTTGTCTGTACTCAGCAGCTTCTATAACTCCAGAGAAGTTTCCACGGAACCTGGTATGTTTGCAGTAAACCCGTTGACTGCAAACAGGGACACCGGAGCAATTAATGCACAGAGAATTGTCAGCTTTGCAGAAGTTTGTGTTCTCTTGAATGAACAATTTGTCTTGTAAAACCCTTGCCCTCACATCCAGGCTGGTAACTTTCCACTTTCATCCTCATTCCGAAACCTACTTCAGTACAAGGAGGGGATCGGGTCATGGCAGGGTAGACCTAGACAGCCAGAGTTTGTTTGTTCCTCTCTTTAATTTATATCCTCCCTTTCTTCCAGTATGGCACTTGTGTGCCTCCAAGTCACTTATCATTTCTGGCAACCCTAGGGCAAACCTATCATAAGGTTTTCTTGGCCGGTTTCTTCAGAAGAGGTTTGCCATTGCCATCCTCTGAGGCTGAGAGAGTGTGACTTGCCCAAGGTTGCCCAGTGGGTTTTTATGCTGAAGCAGGGAATTGAAGCCTGATCTCCAGAATGGTAGTCCAGCGCTCAAACAGTTTATCATATAATATAAACTCAAATAGCTGAAATATGTAGTAGAAAAGTTTTACAAGCATGAAGCAACCCGTCCAAGTAAATTTTAATTTTAAACAATTAAAAACACATTTAGCACCTAGTGTGTATTACAAAATCCAGCACGCACATTGGACATCCTTCTACCCCAAGCAATTAAAGGGCATTTTGGGAGAAAGGCAAGATAGAAATCCAATGAATGAATGCATGCTTTGCCTGATGGTGAAAAGAGGACGGAGAGATGGCCAAGTGCAGAAATGGTTAGACGTGCCACTTTTGGATGCCACAAAGAGTAAACAACTACGAAGTAAACAATACAAATGCCACACACATACATATAATATTGATTGATTGATTGATGCGATGTGATGTTGCATTTATGTTAAAAATGTTATCATGGTTTGTCGTAATCGCACTCTTGTATCATTTACTAATTTTGTGGCTAGGGTTATAAATAACACCCCTTTGAAAATATCCA